TGTTGAAGGACCTTCTCTAAGTCATCAAGCCACAAGAAAAGAGAACAGAAAGAAGAAAGAGGGAAAAAAACAAAAGCCCTACAAAAGGTTGCTTTGGCTGTTCGGGGCCTTTCATGGCTCCATAAAACTTCGGAATTGCTTGTCTAGTGCTGTGAGGAATGTCGTGAGTACTTCTACAGCGGTGCCCTGGGTCCGTGGTTGCTTTGGGTGGTGTGGCTGTTTTGATAATGTTGAGTCTTCCAATCCAAGAGCACAAGATACCTTTCCATTTCTTTGCATCATCTTCAGTTTCCTCCGTCAACGTTTTACAGTTTTCAGAGTATAAGTAACCACCTAGGTTAAGTTTATTTCTAGATATTTTGTTGGTTTTGGTGCAATGGAAATGTTTATGCCAGTTATAAAATTCTGGGTTTTGAAGTGCGAAAAACAAAAAACTGTGAAAGAAGGGCCGCAAATGGCAAAATAACATTCCTTTTTATGGGTGAGTTGTATTCCATTGCATATGCATGCAGCAGCCTTTTTATCCATTCAGCTTTTCACGTGCACTTAGCGTGTTTCCGCTTCCGGGTAGTGATAAATAGTGCTGCTGTTAATAGCAGGGTGTGTGTATCTTTTTGAGTTAATATTTTTGTTTTTCTTGAATACATGCCCAGGAGTGGAACTGCTGGGCCATAGGGTGGTTCTATTTTTAGGTTTTTGAGAAATCTCCATATTGTTTTCCATGGTGGCTGCACCCATTTGCATTCCCACCAACAGTGCACAAAGGCTCCCTTTTCCCCTCATCCCTGCCGACCTTTGTTGCTTGCGTTCTTTCTGATGCTGGCCATGCTGACAGGTGTGCGGTGGGGTCTCACTGTGATTTTGACTTGCATTTCCCTGGTATTAGTGATGCTGAGCAGCTTTTCATGTTCATGTTCCTGTTGGCTGTCTGCATCTTCTCTTTTGGAAAAATGTCTGTTCAGTTCTTCTGCCCATATTTAAATGGGCTCTTTGGTTGTTTGTTTGCTTTTTAATTGAAGTGCAGTTGATTTACAATGTTGTATCTGTTTCTGGTGCACAGCGTGGCTGGACTCGGAGGGCACTGTGCTGAGTGAAGTGAGTCAGACAGAGACAGACAGATACTGTAAGACATCACTTACATGTGGGATCGAAAAAAATACAACAGACTAGTGAGTATAACAGAAAAGAAGCAGACTCACAGACATAGAGAAGGAACCAGCGGTGACCAGAGGGGCGGGGGAGGGGGCGGGGCCAGATGGAGCCAGAGGACTAACAGGCACACACTCACAGGTATAGAATAAGCTACAAGGCCGTGCTGTACCGCATGGGAATACAGCCAACATTTTATAACTATAAATGAAGTATAACCTTTAAAATTCACGAATCACTATATTGTATACCTGTAACATAATACTGTACATCAAATATACTTCAATTTAAAAAATATGTTGTAAAATAAATACATAAATAAATTAAAAACGATAAAAACTGGCTTTTTACTTAAAGGTAAAAAAAAATTTTTAAAAACAGTATGGTACTGGCACAAAAACAGCACATAGATCAATGGAACAGAATAGAGAGCCCAGAAGTAAACCCATACATATATGGACAATTAATTTACCACAAAGGAGCCACGAGTATACAGTCTCTTCAATAAATGGTGTTGAGAAAACTGGGCAGCCACATGCAAAAAAATGAGACTGAACCACTATCTTATACCATACACAAAGATTAACTCAAAATGGATTTAAGACTTGAGTGTAAGACCTGAAACCATAAAGCTCCTAGAAGAAAGCATAGATGGTAAACTCTTTGACATCGGTCTTGGTGATGGTTTTTCCGATTTGACACCAAAAGCAAAGGCAACAAAAGCAAAAATAAACAAAAAACTTGATCATACTAAAAACTCCGTCACTGCAAAGGAAACCATCAACAAAATGAAAAGGCAATGAATTGAATGGGAGAAAAGATTTGAAAATCATACATCTGATAAGGGGTTAGTAGCCAAAATATATGAGGAATTCATACAACTCAGCAGCAAAACAACAGACAATTTGATATAAAATCCAGGCAAAGAATCTGAATAAATATTTTTCCAAAGAAGACATACAGATGGCCAACAGGTACAAGAAGATGTGCTCAGCATCACTAATATCAGGGAATTACAAACCCAAACCACAAGGAGATACCACCTCACACCTGTCAGAATGGCCATCACCAAAAAGACAAGAGACAGCAACTGCCGGCGAGGACGTGGAGAAACGAGACTCCTTGTGCACTGTTGTGAGAATGTACTTGGTGCAGCCACTATGGAAAACAGTATGGAGTTTCCTCAAAAAATGAAAAATAGACCTACTGTATGATCCAGCAATCCCATTTCTGGGTATTCATCCAAAGAAAACGAAAACTACTTTGAGAAGCTATCTGCAGCCCTGTTCATTGCAGCGTATTTACAACATCCAAGACATGGAAACAACCTAAGTGCCCACCAGTGGATGAATGGATAAAGCAAGTGTGCCATGTGTATGTATACACACACACACACACACGCACAATGGCATAGGGAAAAAAATGAAATCTTCCCATTTGTGACAACATGGGTTGACCTTGAGGGGATTATGCTCAATGAAGTAAGTCAGAGAAAGACAAATACCATATGATCTCACTTACATGTGGAATTAAGAAGAAGAAGGGAAAAAAACCCCAAACTCGTAGATTCAGAGAAGGTGGCAGTCAGAGGTAGGAACTGGGGGCTGGGTGAAATGAGTGAAGAGGGTCAAAAGGTACAAACTTCCAGGTAAAAAATAAGTCAATCATAGTTAGGGACGTAACGTACAGCATGGTGACTGTAGTTCATTATACTGCATTGTCAAAACAGAAACTAGTTTAGAACAGGTTGTATCTGCAGGAAGTCTGCAAAGCTGATGCAGAATCCCCGCAGCCCCCACCCAGTCTCCCTTACTATCAACGTCTTGCATCCGTGTGATACGTTTGTTACAGTTAATGAGGCAGCACTGACACCGGATTCCTGACACGGCTAAGCCGTGGCTCACTGGACGTCTTTCATTCTCCCCTAATGTTCCTTCTCTGTCCCATTTAGTCCACAAGTCTCCTTAGGCTCCTCTTGGCTGTGACAGTTTTTCAGACTTTCTCTGCTTTTGATGAACTTCACAGTTTTGAGGAGCCCTGGGCAGGTGTTCTGGTGGCTGTCGCTCCCTTGGAATTTTCTGGTGCTTTTGTCATGGGTGGAGGCAGGGGTTATGGGTGGGGAGGGAGCCCACAGAGGGGACAGGCGTTCTCATCTCCTGGTATCTGGGGCATGGACTGTCAACCCGACAGACCACTAGCCAGCAGAGCTGTTTGTCAGCAGAGTTACTCCCGCCACCTCCCAATGCAATTTTTACGAGGATGTCGGGAGACTCAACCCACACCCAAGCCGGAGAGAGAGGAGTTATGCCTCCCCCGGGGTCCCAACCAACACCCCTGCTCCCCGTTCCCCCTCTCCCGCCCCGCTGACTGCCCTTGACCCACCCCACCCCACCGCATTAAGCCCCTCCTCCCCTCCCTCCTGCCCAGAGCACTGAGCGCCCTTAGCCCCGCCCCTGAGCACCCCACCCCCGCACTGAGTGCCCCATTACTGAGCCCCCCTCCCTCGCCCTCAAGACCCCCCTCCTCTGCACGGATCTCTTCTCTTCATCCCTCCCCACTCTGAGGAATCTCCTCCCCCTCACCCCCTTGGGCTCTCTGACCCCCCCCCATCCAGCAGAAGCACCCCCCCACATGAACCCTCACCTTTCTACCCAACACCTTCTGGCACTAAGGGCTCCGCTACACTCCCCCCTCCCCCGCTCCTGTCCCGCCCCCGCACGTCACGTGGGGACCCTGCCCCCACTCTGCGTCCCCCAACCCGGCCAGCCCACCACCCCGCTTTCCTGCTGGTTTCTGGAAAGCCCTTTCTGCGGTTCCATGGCCCTCTCCTCCCCCGGGACCCTGAGTCTGGAGACCCTGGACGACTCGGACCCTGACCCAGCGGGGACACTGGATGGGGCGCGGTGGCCGCCACCCTGTGAAATCCATGAGGCCCTTTCTCCTTCTCCCCAGCCTCCTGCCTTTGAGGATTCGGCCCCAGAGCCCACAGGCTGGGGCCTGGGGGACAGTGTGGGAGGCAGGAACATCGGCCTGGCTGAGGGGCCCACAGCCGCAGGTGGAGGTACAAGGGGGGTGGCGTACCTCGGGCCCTGTAACGCCCTCTGTTCTCCCGCTTGTGGGGAGAAGCGGCCCACCTGACTGACACTGTGGCGGGGGCCTGGGTGGGGGCATCCACCCAGCCCCCTCTCCAGGTGGGCGCTCACCACCCAGATTGGGACAGGGAGGTGTCACCGTGGGAGGCGGGTAGGGGTTAAGCTGGGCGGTCTACTCAGTCCCCACGCTGGGGACCGGAGGCTCCAAGACAGGCTGACGGGCCATTTTCTCCCTCTCTCGTGCGTGTCCTGTCTCCTGGTTTGTGACCCATGGCCGCTGCCCTAGTTGTGGACCTGGAGGCAGAGCACAGCATGGACGTCATCCTGGTGGGCTCCAGCGAGCTGTCATCCCCTCCGTCACCCAGGTCACGCAGAGGTCAGGGCTCCTTCAGGAACTGGGCCTACCGCTTAGGCTGCTGAGCCCAGGCCCGGGCAGCGTCTGGGGTTCCGTGCTTCTGCAGTGTTCACACGTCATCCAGGAGCAGGAAGGCCTGACCCAAAGGGTCCCCACCCCACCCCCAAAGCGCGGATATTCGAGGTGCAGGAGAGGGTGGCGGTGGTCCTCTGGCTCCTGTGACGCCAGCAGATCAACTAGCCTCTCTACCCATTTAAATGAGGAGACAGGCAGAGGAGGGCTGCTGTTTTTCTTTTTCAGATCTTGTCGCCTATGAAGTCCAGGTGAACCAGCGAGACATAGAAGGTGAGAGGCCGCACGGTGGCCCAGGCAAAGGGGCGTCAGCCTTGCCCAGGTGTCCATCCCTGGGAGGAGGAAGCGCGCGCCCAGCTCACGCCCTCCCCCGCCTCGGCGGCCCCCAATGCTCCATTTAAAGTGTTCACGTCAGTGTCTTTTAACGTATTCACAGATAACGTGCAGCCAACACCACAATCCAGTTTAATGACATTTTCATCACCCTCAGAAAGAAACTGCTCCCCATTAACAGTCACTCCCATTCCTCACCCCTCCACCTCCCCTCTTTCAGCCTCAGGCAACCACGAATCTGCTTTCTTTCTCTGTGGATTTGCCTATGTGAGATCCTCCGCATTTTCATATGAATTTTAGGATTAGCTTGTCAACTTCTGAAAAAAAAACAGAACAAACAAAACCAAAGCCGCTGGGATTCTGAGAGGGATCTGCCGACTGCTCTGGGGAGGCTTGCCGCTCCAACGATACCTCGTCTTCTGATCCATGAGCGTCACGTCTGTTTGATCTTTCATTTCTTTCAACAGCGGCTTATGGTTTTCGCTGCACGGGTCTTGCACTTCTGTTGTTAAACTTGTTACTGTGTCTGTGTCTCTGTCTGACGGTATCATGACACGGTGCCCTGTGCTTTTCCACCTTAGACATGTGCATCTGCTGTGGAAGCTTCCAGGTGCACACGCAGCACCCTCTGTTTGAGGGAGGGATGTGTGCTCCATGCAAGGTAAGCGGGGAGGTCGGCGTGGCTTCGTGGAGGCCTCGGAGCAGAGGAGGCAGCCTGGTTTGCCCTCGCCAAGGACAAGTTCCTGGAGTGCCTCTTCCTGTACGATGACGACGGGTACCAGTCCTACTGCTCCATCTGCTGCGCGGGAGAGACGTTGCTCATCTGCGAAAACCCCGACTGCACCCGGTGAGGCCGCGGTGCCCGGGGGCCGGGTGGGGGGTGAGGGACCGCTGCCCACAAGCCTAGGAAACTCCCGTCCTTCCGGGCTCCGCACCCAGGAGCGCAGGGGGATTTCCCCCTAAAAGGATGAGTTTCTCCAAAGCTTTCAGTTTCCGTCTCAAATACTTCATTTGGTGTAGAGCCTTGACCTATGGGAGGGAGGTGTCAAAAGCTGTGTTTGTGATTTTTCTTTCTGTTTTTATCACTGAGACATAGCTGCCCCCTGGATCACAGGCGCCCCTTGCAGCCGGGGTCAGGCAGGGCATGTTCATTTGCCGTTGCACACCAGCCCAAGCTCCACCTGTGGTCCCCTCCCCTCAGTCCTTCCGGGCCACCCTCCTCCACCCCAAATCTACCCCCTACCTTAGGGATTTGGGTTTACTGGGAGACCTGACCTGGTTCCACAGGCTCCGGAGTTTGGAGGAGGAGGAGAGCTGGCTTGGGGGCGTCTCTGAAATCTGCTGTTGCCCCGGGTTCCCCGCTGTCCTCTGCAGATGGCTGGGTTCCTGACTCCCCAGGTCCCTAAGAGCGGCAGGTCCCCTTCCCTGGCCACAGACTCGCCTCCCCGCACGCCACCTCTGTCTCCTCCCTGAGCCTGAGTGTGGCCTCCACCGCGCGCTCAGGGCGAGGAGCGGGCTCACTTCTGCCTGAGGATGCTCCAGGCTGTCGCCAGGCCGTGGCGGCAGCGCCATTCCTGTTGCTGTGGTTTTCTGTCCGGCTCTAGATGCTACTGTTTCGAGTGCGTGGACACGCTGGTCGGCCCGGGGACGTCGGGGAGAGTTCACGCCATGAGTAACTGGGTGTGCTTCCTGTGCCTGCCCTTCCCCCGCAGCGGGCTGCTGCAGAGGAGGAGGAAGTGGCGCGGGTGGCTGAAGGCCTTCTACGACCGCGAGGCGGTGAGGAGCGGGACGGCTGGGCCCCGAGGGCAGGGCGCAGGCACGGCCCTGGCGCTGTTAGTTTCCCTGGTAACTGGCTGCAAAACGCCCATCTGGACACGTGGTGAAGTTAAAGGCTTTTAAGCCGACGCACTTCTCTGTCTTCCTCTTTGAGAGCAGTTTCCGCTAGGTGGTCTATCTGCTAAAAATTACTGTAGCATGGCAATGGTGTTTCTTCCCAGCCTGGAAGGAGGCATTTGTAGGCGGTAGGGGAGGGGCTCAGCAGAGGTGGGCCTTGGAGTTCGGCAATTGGGAGCAAACCCTGTGCAGGGTCAGCCTGGTTCAGCCCGGACAGCATCATGGATGTGGGACCGCTCCAGGATCAAGGCCAGGAGCCGGGAGCTGGGCAGGAGCTGTGGCCTCATCAAAGCGGGTTGAGCTGAGTCCTCCCCAAAAGATACATCTAAGTCCTAACCCCTGGTACCTGTGAACTGGACCCAGTTTGCAAATAGGGTCTTGAGGGAGGTCATCCTGGATCAAGGGGACAGGAAGTGCAACGACTGGTGTCACCTAAGGAGGGGGACCTGGGAGACAGACGCAGAGGGAGGGTGGCCAGGTGATGGGCAGGGGTGTGGACTGACCCGGGCAGCATGGAGCCAGTGCTGGCCTGGGGCTCTCTTCTATGTGCTTGGCGGCCAGGCTGGTTCTGGAGAGTCACCGCACGGCGTTGCTGGCCACCCACCCACAGGGGCACATGGTGGGCCCACCGTCCCACACTCCCTGACACCGGATGGGAGCAGGCGCCTCTACGGTGCTTGTCAGAATCAAGGCGCCTTGCTCCCAGTGGAGTGTCTTCAGGTCCATTTAGTGGCAGAAACCTTCCCCACCCCCCACCCTCCGCGCTGGCAAACTGCAAGGGGAGCTCGCTGCTGAAAGCAAAGGGAGCTGACATTCAGACCTGCTGTTACGACAGCTCAGTGCCAGGCCGCCAGGGGGAGGAGACGCTGCGCCTGCAGCTGCCGTGGGAACCAGGACTGTGTCCCCAGTGTCCTTCAGGGCCGCACCTGTGCCAGGCCCTTCCTGCCCTCCTCACCTCCTCACACCTCTGGGCAGCCCCAGACCACCTGCCCGCCGCCCCGGGCTCACTGGCTCCTCCCCCTTACCTGGCTGGGCACCGTCCGTCTGCTCCAGCCCTGGGTAGACCCTTCCCCAGTGGCTCAGGGCGTCCTGCGCGCCCCCGGTGCAGGCAGACAGGTTCAGGCCTTGTCTCCCATCCGCAGCTCGACGCCGGGCTCCCCAGAGGCCAGGCACCCCCCAAGGGCAGCCTCCTGGGGGGCGGGGGCTCTGGGGGTGCTTGTTTCGCAGACGGACCCCCGGGTCTCTGCGGTCTGGGTGTCCTGCAGAGAGGCTGGGTTACCCCAGGCCTTCTCGGCTCCATGGTCCTCAGCCTGGCTCCTCCGTGGCCGGACTCAGGCGCTGGCCCAGTCCTGGCCTGGGAACGGCCTGATGCTGGTGGCCTTCCTTTGGGAGTGCTGGGTGACGTGGGCCCTGTTCAGAGCCCACAGAGGGGACGGAGAGGGACGGGTGAATCCCACTGCTGAGCGTGTTTAGAAACACAAGGGAAGCGGCCCCTCC